GGGGGGGGGGGGAGGCTGGCTATGCATAGACGTGCGAAAGAGCAGGCCTTCCAGCATGTTCAGCACGCCGTTGCCCTGGACAGCCCTGATTGATTCGGAGATGGGCTGACTGGGGTGGCTGATGCTTGCGAGCTCTGGAAATCTAAAGCGCTTGAGATTCGAGGAAAATCGCCAATTCAGAATTGCTTTGAGCATGCCTGAATGCATTGAACGGATTTACGGAGCAAGGCTTTTCAAAAGAAGTTAAATAATGCATTTGTGGGTTGTCACAAGCATGGTCCCTTGGTTGTCAAAAACTGCACCCCTGCGGGTGCCTCTGTTGTAATGAAAAGGTTGGTTAGTAGCATACCCCTCCGCGTTTCTCAAGATCTCATGTTGATGCGTCTCCAACCTCAGATTGACACATACCTCCAAAATGCTCCAACAAAGGGGGTGTTGTATCTTCTCCTAAACCCTAAACCCTTCCTTCAACCTCAGCCTCAAGCATCCTCCTTCATTAGACGATACCCCTTGGGCCAGTAGCAAACTCTGTCGACCAACTGCTATACCCAAACCCTCTGGGAGGTTACAAGGAGAATATAGGGTTTAGGCTTTAGGGTTTAGGGTTGAGGGGATCCGAAAAAAAGGATATAGGATTTATTTCGGGGGTAGATAGGACTGTACCCAGACCCTCTGGGATGGTCTAAAAATTAGATCCCCTAAATAGACCCGTTCCAGCCCCTATATAATCCTTGTATAATTTCCCGTATGGTTCAGAAGGATCGAAGTTTTATATCCTTGTGGAGGTCTGGGTACTCCATTGGGCCATAACCAAAAAACAAAAACCAAGTAGTGAGAGGCATTTTGGCTCTGATGTTACGCTTTAGGGTTTAGGGTTGCGTCTCAAAGTGAAGGGTCCCCCTTTTTCACCTCCAACACACAGACATCCCTGTCACAAGGTGCCAGATCCAAAGCCGTTCCCATGGTCCCGGGCTCTAATCTAAAAAACCAAAAAACAAGAAGAACAACTCAAAGCAAAAGATAGCTCATGTATTAAGAAATGAAATCATTTGAGAAAAGCCCTCTAAACTCACTAGCATCCCTATACACCCAAGGGGTTTCTGTAAGGGCCCCCCCGTAAACCCTAAACCCCTAA